GCTATATATAATTTCCCATCATTAAGCAACCATGCAGTCACACACATCCACATTGGTGTGCGTAGATCAACGTAAAATTTCATTCGGTATAACTTTCATTATGTGTAGCATAAAAATAACTCCAATACAAAATGACAAAACTACCGTTTCTTTTGCCAAAAAAGTAAATAAATAAAAAATAAGTGAAGATAAGAAAAGGATTAAGAAATGATGAAGCAACTCTGGTCAAATTGCTACTTAAATTCCCTAGTCAAGGGTGCGTGGGTTGTGTGTGTGACTTCTTGTTCTTTTAATCAATTTATATTACATTATTGGCCTAACTTTCACTTTCAGTTAAATCTCTATAAATTAATACAGTTTGAACTAGCAAAATTCTATTAATTTAGGCCCCGTTTGGTTGGCAAGATAAGATTAGCCAAGATAAGATTAAATAATCTAATGAGACCCAATTATTTTATTGGAGCTTGAAAGGTCCAATAAAAAAAACTCATTAAGAGGCAAGATAAGCCAAGATAAGGCAAGATAAGCCATGATTATTTAATTTTGGCGGGTCGACCCGGCAAGTTATTGAGGATACCAAACATCAAATTAAGTCCAACTATTTAGTTAATCATGGCTTATCTTGGCAACCAAACGGGGCCTTAATGAAATATTAAGTTATCGAACTAATGATTTAATATGTTTTTACCGAGTCGGGACCGAAATAAACTATTATTTAAATGAGGTTATTAATTTATCGAATATTAATTTACCGAGGTTCCACTGTATTTAGCTATCATGTATTAATATAAAAATTGCATTTACCTCCTTCGTACTATCAAAATATTCAGTTACTCCCCTAAATTATATAGTATACATGTTATATTACCCTTTTTTCTTTTAAATGTCTCCCTCTTTGTTTTCAAAAAGAATTTTCTTCTGCTTCGATTATTTTTTAAATTCGCCTAATTATTATTATTTTTAATTCTACTATTCTCGTTCACTTTCCTAAAAAAGGAACCACGAGAAAAATAGAATAGTTTTTTTCTTTATCTTAAACTTGTACCTATGAATAATTTTCAAGCTTAGGCATTTTATCTTTTAATTACTGGATTTTTCAAATAAATAAATAAATAAAATACTTTAGTCAAAAAATCTTTGACTATTAATATGTATTTGATTTATATTTGGAACAAATACAATGTAATTAATTAGATGGTAATTATGATTCAAAATTTTAGTTAAAGTGAAAATAAAAACAAAAGTGAAACAATAACCAAAAGTAATAATGCATGTGTATGGATTATAACTATAAGTATGAAAATAGATTTTTTTTCCTATAAAATTTATATATATATATATGTATTGTAATTAATCAACCACCATGAAAATATCTTGCTATATCATTTTCTCGTAGGGTCAAAGTTCAAATTTTCATACTAAGTTACAAGACTTGATTGAACATTACATATGTTTTGGTGGGGAAGGAAGCTGAATATTAGGACTGGATTCCAGTGGCGATGTGGTCTATGATCAATAAAAAACAAAATTATTTTTAGGGCTAAATACACTTTGCACCACTGAATTATAGTATATGTAACGCTTACCCCTTCAAGTATTATTTGTAACACTTACCTACTTCAACATCATATATTTCATATTTTAAAATTAAAACATAATAAACTTAACAATCTAATAATTATTGGATTATAAAAATTGAAAAATAAGTAAAATTAAATTATTAGAAGATAAAATAAAATAAAACGTAATATATATCGTATAATATGAATGAAAATATATTTGAAGAAATTAATGAACTAAAATAAATTAAAATACTTAAGCTGATTTCTTAAAATTTATCGATATGAATATATTCGATTAATTGGTCAAATACCAATTAGATGTTATTTAGTAAAATAACCTTAAAAAAAAATTAGTATTGCTTCAAACCCCCGAATTTTTTTGATGCATCCTTTCATTTTTTTTTCTTTTTTTTTTTAACATGTGACAGAAGGTTCTTCCACCATTGACCAGAATGAGTAAAATAATTGTATTCTTAATTATTTGTAAATCTATGATTAGCATAAAAATATAGCGTTACTTGTCCCAAAATTTCATTGAATCAATCTCATTCCTCAAATGTAGACTTGTAATTGGAACATTCATTTGTGTAATTTAGTTGGACCAATTCATACAACACACAATTTTTACGAATTTTTTTACAAGTCCTTTCATTTTCAGTTATTCAGTGTAGTTATATAACTGGTTGCGAGTTCATTTAATTATCGGAAAAAATGATAATCAAGACTAATATTTTAAGACAACCAAAGACTAACTAATATATGATCCGAGGTAACGTATGTTGAATTATGGGGAAAAAAAAATACTAACCTTTGGAAAAATCTGCTGGTAATTTGACCTCAAAATGATGAAATATTAAAAAATCAAATGGGTCAATTCTAAAATTTATCCTCGAAATTATATTTATTTACATAAATAAGAAGAAAAAGGAAATTAACTGATAATCACTAGGGATGGAAATTAGCTTATATTTATTGATAACAATTAACTTCTTAACATTGCCACACAATTGAAGCTAACTAAAAAAAGGACCATAAACTTTTGAAAATCGTTAGCATACTTCTGAAAATTGATAGTGAACTCCGGCATGCACTATGGTCCGCCCTTCAAATTCACATAACATGTTCGCGTTATTCATAGATGGGCCCATATAGCGGCGACTTCAGGAATTTGTTATGGGAAAAAAATTAGGAATTTTTTTCATATATCATAGAACAAAATCAGAAAATAGGAAAAAAAAAATTAAGACTTTTTCGCATTAATTTGAATTTTGATGGGTCATATTATACAAAATCGAAATAATATAATTAATTTTTTTATTATTATATTATATTAATATATATTATTTTTGGGATCTAACATAGATTATAGTTAATTATTGCATTTTTCATTTTTTTAAATTTATTTTGTAAATGAGATGCAAGATTATAAACAATTAAAACATTATAAACAATTAAAAGATTGTATTCAAAATATAGAAAGTTAACAAGTCATTTTCAATTTGCATCTAAAACAAAAATATTCGTTAAAAATTACATATATACCCACCACCTCTCTCTATAAATACTCTCTAACACCGCTTGCCAAAAAAACCAATCACTCAAACCAAACAAACACAAACAAAATTTCCCAAATCCCACTTCAGCCAAAAAAAAAAAAAAATGCTGCAAATGGTGCCGCAATCCGCCGTACTAAACTACGTCGTTTGGATCACGGCACAGCTGAAGTGGGCATGGGATTACCTTCTCCATCAATCCTTCAATCCAAACGGCGTCGGATTACCGGAATACACAGACGACGACCTCATCGTTACGATTCATGAAAGCGAGGATTCCGAATCCGACGAATGCGCCGTTTGTCTGTGCAGGATTGAGGAAGGTGACGAAGTCAGAGAGTTAAGGTGCGAGCATTTGTTTCATCGTGCTTGTTTGGACAGGTGGTTGGGCTACGGCCATATGACGTGTCCCTTGTGCCGGAACAACCTCCGTCTGCCGCCGCTTGAGGCGGCGGAGCTCCACCACGAACTCGTAGTGATTGACTTCGGCGCCACCCGATACAGTGATCGCTGTGTGTGGTGGCTGCGCTAATTATTAGATTTAGAACTATATATAAATATGTAAGCTGTTTGTTAATTAAGTGTTCGTTAGTTAATTAATGAAATTAATCAATTATAATTAAATGTTTTGATGTTGTAGTTAATTTTTATATAAGTTAGATTGATTGAAATTAATCAATTGTAATTAAATTAAGATAAACCTGATCGATTACTTTGGGTTTATATACCTTAACTCATACCATCATCGGTGAAAAATTAATGATGAATTAAAAAATATAATAATTAATGTTGGATTAATTAGAATTAATTAAGTTATGGGAGTCTAACTTGGATTATTGATTATTTAAGATAACTTTTTGACCAAAACGTTGTTCTTCATTGATCCCTATCGTAAAATTTGTGGTTTTCAGTTAAACTTCTATAAATTAATAATACAGTTGGAACTAATAAAGATTGTATTAATTTAGATAAATATATATTATCGAATTAATAATTTAATACGTTTTCACTAAATTAGGACCAGATCAAATTATTATTTTTAAGCAATATTATTAATTAATCGAGTATAAATTTATCGAGGTTCTACCATAAGAGCTCGTTCGGTTACCGCTATAAAGTTCTACTGACTAAATAGTGGGGCTAATTACACGTCTGATTGGTAAGATTCACATTTTTTCCAACCGACTACTATAATCAAAGTCCGCTATTAAATGTTACTATTTCATTAAATTAATAGTATCCCCATATTAATTTAATAGAGATTGACTAAAGGGAAAAAACAATTTTATCCTTAAAATCATTTCTTATTATTGAAAATTAATTGGTTTTATAAACAATTCAAATATAATAACTGAATTTAACAAATTTTGCAGAAGGTCTAATATAAGAAACCAAACATGCTACTAGCTAAACAATTAATTCAGTCTGATACGATATAGGTAACCGAATGAGCCATAAAGATATCACGTCCACCTATATTACTTACTGTATGTATATGTATGTATACGTATGTACATACATATATACATACATACATAAATGTGTTAAGTGTGAGACACATATTAGAGTGATGAGAGCGAAAGAAAATATGAAAAAAGACGTGGTCGACACATTTTCCTAACGATGTGTAATTTTGTCCACTAAAAAAATTCCATCGACCAGGTGCATCTTTTGTGGACTAGCTTGGCTTGATTTGGAGGAGATGAAGATTACTAACTAATCACGTGGTTTCCATGCCAAATTATTGCTCTACATTTTTATAATGGGAATGTAATTTTAAATAATTTCATGAAAGATGAATTACAAAACAATCGTAATAACCTTCAAAATAGTTCGAAAACGACGAGGTTTAAGGGGTCTATGAGATGTTACACCTGGTGAAAAACATCGGGTGGTTTTGCATCATAGATTTATGGGTAAATTACAACTATTCTATGAGGTATAGTTAAATTACGAAAATTCTCCTCTTGTTTGGATAATTACTTCTACCCTTCAACTATGAATCTTCTTACACATCCACTCTTATGGCGTCAAATTCAACATAATAATCTAGATTCCATGGAATGTGCTCTGGTTTGTACTCGTTTTGTGTAAAAATACAGTTTATGATGCGCCACAATCTTATATATACAAGCCAAAAAACACATTTTATGATCATCTTGCTTCAAAATGTAAAGCTCAAATGGGATAAAACGGGTACACGAGTGATAATATTCCATATAATCAAGAAGATTCCACTAAATTTGAAACCACAAGGGTGGACGTGTAAGAAGATTTATAGTTGATGGAGGTAATTGTAATTACCCAAACAGGAGGGGGGTTTTCAGAATTTGAGCATACCTCAGGGGGTGTATGTAATTTACCCTAGATTTATACAAATAACCACCCATAAAGCACATTTACACATTGGTGTATGTATTATGTATAGATCAATGGTACATGACCACCCGGTGTATTTCATCGAGTGCAGCATCTACAAAACCGTTTAAGGGTATGAAATTCGGGATTTCTTTTTGGGTTAATTTATAAGTATAAATTATAATTTTATAAATGGCTTTAAATTTATCAACCCAATTGGAAACAATTGGTTCGAAATAGGGTCGAAATTGGAATTATTAAAACAATTGGTCCGAAATAGCATTATATATCGGATGGGAAGTTCATCAGAGGAAGGAAGTCTCTAAAATGTAGCTTGCTCGTCAAGAAAGGAGGTCGACCATCGCAATATCTGTTCGCATGAATAGGAGGAGAGCGCTTAATAGGCGGCGAGCAGGAGACGAGTCATTGAAAACGTAGATTCAAAGATATTTTCTAACATAAACAATACTCACAACATTCTATCAAGACTATAAAACCAATCAGCAATTTTATTAACTGTGTAAAAGTATACAATAATTGCATGTATCTGATAATTTATATGCTCTTGTAGCAGCACTCTGTAATAAATTTACAGTCAGAACCTTTCAACTATACCGCTACTTTTATACAATCAAGTAGGGGCTTCGAAAAGTCTAACGAGGAATGAATCCTCGTTTACAATTCTCGAGTACTTCAACACGTTGAAATAAATAATAGGGAACAAAATTTCGAAAAAAATAAATAAATTAATTCCGGCACTATGAATTGGTGCGTTCACACTCAACAAAGATATACCTCGTACAGTTGTACAGCAATCACATTCCTCATCGTCTTAAAACCAATTTAATAGCGTTTTGCTGAGGCTTTGTTAAACTCTGCATTTGAGATCAAAATTGGAATAAGCTGCCCGAATAAATAGCTAGGGTAAAAATGTCAATAAGAGTTTGCCATGCAATACGCTTAAAAGGGATTTCGAAGTGACCTGGAAAAGATGTTCAAAAAATGGCCCGTCGCTCTCGGAGAACTTTGCCAAGGATTCAGTGAGATAGTTAACCAATTTGATCTGTCATGATTGGTGAAAAAGATCATGTTTAGCAAAACAAGTAGTTACTACTTACTACATATTGTAAATATTTCAGAATATTTCGGAAAAGATCTAAAATTTCGGATTTTTTTTTTTGAATTAAAATCGGATTGGAAACCGGAATTTTGTAAATTTTATATATAATTCCAATTCGGATCAGAATCGGCGAAAATCAGAAATTCCGTTCCAATTTCCTCTCCTATCGAAGGATTAATTCTGCACCTAAAATATAAGGTTACCTCATTTAGGGGATCAACGCTGCTAAGAAGTTCATCTTCATAGTCATCTTCATCGTCCTAAACCAATCAATAAAAACAAATTCCAGTTTAAATAATAATTAAATATATAAATGAAAAGAGGTTTAATCGGACAACATTAAAGGTCAGAAACAAGTCAAACCTCATTGAAAGCCTTCGCCATGGCATCAAGATATTCATACGTAGGTCTGCTATGCGATGCAGCGTCAGTCGAGTATAGGAAATCATCATCTTCTCCACCATCACCATTCTGAACTTCTTCCCAATCACTATCCTGCAAAATTAATTTCGAAAAGCTTCTGACCGTAATTCCTAGTCATGGACATGCTAATGTAATAAAAATGCGAAAAAGGTGGCTATAAATACCTCATTGTCTCCTTCGACTTGCTCTTGGATTTCTAATAACGAATCAGCCAATATACCCAGAATCTATAGTGCCCAGAAAGCATGTACTTCAGCATAATAATAATAATAATAATAATAATAATAATAATAATAATAATAATGCTTTGAACACAAAGAACATACATATAGCAAATAGCAAATGTTTATTAAAAGTTTTAACGAAAAAATGGGGCAAACATTGAAATTCTCAACCATCAACGAGAATTTATATATGCAAGAAATCCATCTTTCGAAGATGAACCATGTCAACAAATACCTTGGCAGGAAGGGGCATCACTGTCCATTGGTCTGGTATTATCTTAGCTCTTGAGCGGGTGGTTATTCCTGAATCAGACTATATAATATATAATAAAATGGAGTGAGTTATCAAGTAGGTGCAATAAACGAGGAGTAGTATGACGAATAAATCCCTACCTTCATAAGATGGCCTTGGACATTGACTATTCCCAATTCAACATGCCTTGTCAAGAGCAGCAAAGCCAAAGCCGTAGTTGTTACTTTAATTTGATAGGCCCCTTGAACTTCCCCTGGATTTAACAAACAATCGACAGTCTATTATGATAATTGATCAGAAACAGTGGGTGCTAAATGTTTTAAGACAGAAATTAGCTGAATAGGTTGTCTTTTATGATTTGCCATCCAAAATCATAATTGGAACAAGCACAAAGTACAGTCTATTTTGTGTCTTGCACGTGAGTAGATTTTTATGATAAATTCTTAATTTTCCTGGAAAGTCCATTTTGATTCGTGTACGGAGATAAATAGTCAGGCACCAGAATTAACATGAGCACTTGCCTTGGAGTCTGGTCCATTCAAACATGACATAAGCAAAGGCGTTTCGATGATCTTCGGCTGGGATAGAGACCAATAAGTCAATAAATTGTTCAACATGAGGCACACTCATGTGGACCTGCACCAGACAATAAACATATTGAATTAAGTTCTACAGATAATAATACCAACACTCGGAAAATGCTTAAAATCGAATTAAGCTATGTGAAGTGATTTTATCAAAATTAATTAAGTGAAGGGACACATTTATGCGATGTGTAATGAATGCATTACAAACAGAAATCCATAAAAATATAATTGGAAGCTAACCAGTCTAGCAAATATCAGAAGCAAAGAACTTTTAAGTCCTGATATTTGAGAAGATTGCATGCGTCTGACAAGTGCGGTAACAAGATCTCTGATATGCTGTGCCATTTGTGAAGGCAGATGTAAAATAAGCTGTAAAATGTAGCTTCCGACAAAAAGTGATGCAGAACTTTCCAAGTAGGGGTCTAAAAGCCTACATAGAAAACCAACAAACAAGTGCCGCCAAAAGATTATATAAACCATCATCGCCTCTGTTTTTAAATATTAAATGATATAATGGTTTAGGCAAAAGATTTTGTTGACAAAGAACTGAGACAAAAAATCACCTTGAAGCAACATCAAGTAAACTTCTCATTGTAAATCCAGGATCACCACACCAAGCAAGCATGTCTTGTTTCCCACCAGACACGAGAGCAGCTAAGCACTGGGTTGCATTCTGATACACATGCAACGACATCACCAAACATTTATGTTATATATTACCAGCAAAGAGCAAACTTTAAAGAAAAAAGGAGCAGATTACGGTAAAGAGAAAGTAGAGATAACCTGCATCTCACTGTGATCGTTACTTTGAAGAACTATTCTAACAACAGGATCAAAGGAAACTTGATGCACTGCTTTTACCACATCAACAGGAGCGTTCTGTAATAACATAACATTAAATTTTCAGACCACTCTTCGAGTTATATGAAACACCTATCCTAAATGTAAAACACAGTTCTTTAACAGATGTATCGTATCACCTTCACTAGCATTGCAACAAGATCCAGAGAACCAGCAACCAAGCCATCAGGTTGTTGTTGTGGCTGAGAAACGTAAACAATATAGTGAGAAATAAAGAGCTAATTTCAACTGTTGTTTTTTTTTCCGACTACTGTTAGCAGTTGGTAAAGTTTGCGTACATTACTGAGGATTGGCCCGATAAATAGTAAAACTCGAGAAACTAGAGGATGAATACATCCAGGAGCATTTTTTATCGCCTGAAAAGATGAAAAATGACAAACATATACAATTTAAAACAAATTATTTTCATGGCAAGAGAAATCACAATCCACAGAGAGTTGCATATGCTAAAATTCATGCTATCCAAGTTAGCAAATAACTATTTCAAACCCTTAGAGATATCGAGGATTTACCTCCAAAACCTCTAGAGCATCAATACTGATGAAAGGGTCAGAGACATGAGAAGCCCACATGTTAAGGAGGATAGGCGAGATAACCGGCTCTATTGAGGCTGAAATTTCATGACCTAAAACGGGAAATAACAGTGTGAGAAAAAATGTCAGACATCCAACGCTTGAAAACTTGCTCAACATCAAACGTGAAGTTGAAATGTATTCCACTTGTACTAACCAGCCTTTATAGCTGCTTGTAGAGTTTCAAGTACTAGGTGCATAGTCTCGTCGGAAGCCTAAAAAGCAGGAAGTAATAAGAACATACTAATAAAAGTAATAAAGAGAACCAGATTGATACAAACAGCAGGTATCGTCTCACGTTTTTAAGAAGATCTATAAGTGCAGAAAATAAATCCAATCCATGAAGTTGAATAATCCCGCTGGTAGCATCTGGTAAAAGCTGGGATAGAGCTCGACAGGCACCAACTTTCGCTGGTGGGGGCCTGTAAAAAGGAATTGGCGAGTATATTCCATGGAAGTGAACAAAAGATAAATATCCTAATTCAAGTTCTTACACATCCATGCCAACTGTCTTCATAGCGGTGTATAGAAAATGATCTGTTACTTGGTTGTTCATCTGTGCGAATAATTGAACCAAATAAGATCTTAGAAATTTACGTGAACAAGATAGGCAGGAGGATGAAATCAGTGGAGGATTTTTTTAGTAATTACCAGAGACGAAAACTTTGCAACAGCTGTAAATAAGCGGGCATAAAGAAAGGGGTATTCATGCACTCCTGCAAATTAAATTTGGCGATTTCGATTCGTGTTAAATCATCTATGCCTCATTAATTTGAAGCAAGCATCTCAGTGGATTTTTACAGAAAATGTTTCACCTGTTGCCATGTCATCAGTTAAAATTTGTTCCAGCATATCTCTAACAGAGGGTCCAGAAACCTAAAAGAGCAAAAAAAGACAAATGATTAATTAAAGAGAGTCTACGTACAGTAAAAACAAAAAACGATGTTATCTTTGTGTTTATAGAAACACAAAGGACTCACCTCTGCTTGAAGCAGCTGCTCGGACACTGAAGCCAAAGCAAACAGGGTAGCCTCCCTTAACTGCCAGATTCAAACAAAAACAAGTCCCAAGTTACAAGTTATCACGGTGATAGTTTGCTATAATCAAGTTGCATAGAACCACATAATTGATAATTTCCTTTTATGTCAGCAATCACGAGGAAAAGGAATTTGACAGACACAAGAGAAATCAGGATTGGATTCCAAAGAAAACTCGTCGTTAGGATAAAATATAGATTAATTGCTTTTACACTAGGTATCATTATAGTTTCTTTTTTCTTTTTCTTTTTTTTTTTCCTTCTTATACTGTGCTACAAGGTATCATCAATATAGTAAATCAACTTACTCTCCACCAGCCAGGGGAGCCAGTTTCTTTTGCTTGCTGAGACTCTCTTATGCGTCTTCTCACGGAGTCAATTACAGCATCTATACCTTCCATTCCACAAGAAGTAATTATCTCTTCCAGTAGAAGTGCGCCTGCAATAAAATATTTTTCAGGGGAAAAAGAAAAGCTTTAGAAATTGCAACCTCCAAAGGATAGATAAGAATATGGAGAGGGCAATTAATAGCCGGACAGCACAAAAAGTAAGCTAAAATTTATATGAGGCTGAAAATTAAAAAATGAAGAGGTATTACCACGCATGGATTGCATGATAAACTTATTTACATAATAAGCATTAAAAGTCCGATAAAAGTCGGCTTATTCAGAATAAGATTTACATAATCCATTTCTTAATTGGGATATGTTGAACCTACGCAAATACAAAAGGGATTAACTTTAGAACCCTAACATCTATAAAAAAACTTCAATCCAGATAAACTGAATTGACCTTACCCACAAAAAGAAAATGCATGAACTCATAATTACGGAATGCAGTAGTCCTAATTTTATCCACAGCTCAAATATTGTGCTGCGACCATGAAAACACGGCAATAGCTTGTAAATTGTGTTAGATACAGCTCAGAATTTAATGAAAAGTAAGCATAAGCCAACTGCACAAGTTTCTTAATAGCTTAAGAATGTCTTATGGAAACACAATATCTTTTGGAGAAAACAATGTAAAATATTTAAGCCACATCACATCTCATAATATCAATTATTATAAGTGCATGCACATAAGCCTTTGTTTCACAAAAAAACTAAGTTCATTCACTAGTAAATCCCTTAGAATTTGAATGATAAAATGACGGTAATTTTTATATATTTGTAGATTATAATACAACGAAACGCACATCGCCAAGTGCATATATACATTTACATTTACACATGTACATGGATAACTGCACAAACATAATTCGACAGAAAGATTTACGCGCAATATGTGCACAAAAAGGCAAAACATGTCCAACATTTTCCAGTAACTAACTAATAATGTTTAGCCAGTCCAAGAAACTACTTGCCAGATGCACGACAACTGTAAGTATTGTCATCCTCGTCAGCAACAAACTGATTAGCATCCAGAGACCAGGTATGAACCTGCATTCAAGTTGAACAAGAATGGGCAAAAAACTCTATCTTTACCACAATCAAATGATACAAATCTTACTACAAAATAAAATAAAATATACATGATCATGTCCCTGGACAACTTGATAGAGATGGAGTACCTGTTGTTCCGTTATTTGAAGGAAACCAATGGTATAGTAGACTAACTCTTTCACATTGTTCATAACAACCTAATTGAGAAAAAAATATTAACATGACCTAAATCAGACAACTGAATGCACAGCAAGACAAAATGAGAAAGGTGTTTTTGAAGCACACCTTTATAAATCTTGGGCTTCCAATCACAGTCAATAGAAATTCAAATAACTGCACAACAAAAGAAAGCAAAATTGCGCGTCACATACTAATTAGTGGAAGTATTTTACCCCCATCCAGCAGAAGCAAGGAAAAGAACAGACTGAACTATTCATCTATGATTCATCATGCGTCAAACTAGCTGCTGTAATAATCAACAATAAGAATGCATACACAAACAACTAGGATCGTTTGACGAAGCGAAGTTTCTCACATATAATCAATCAAAGATTGATCATTCATTTTACTGAAATTACTGAAAAGTCTTCCTTGATTATCTACTACTAAAAGAACTTTTCATATTCAGGAGCAAATGAAGGAACTCGACATATGATTGGACAGCAATGCTCAGAAAATAAAGGTTTTAGAACTAGATCAAAGAAAATTTTGGTTTTTGCCAGATCTCACAAAATCAACATATATATGACTGCTATTGATGTTGTGCATACTACAAATTCAACGTAGTTTCTTCATTAAAAGATAAATATTCAGTCAGTACGAAGTCGAAAGAGCAAAGACTGTAGCAAAATAACATCCTAATCCCAGCACAGTAATACTAGTTCCTAGCTGGTAAAAATCGACTCACAAACAAACACAAAACCCTTATGTGGTCAGCAATAATAAAGTTATTGATCATCATAATTTTCATTAATGCTACTTCTTTGTGCCTAAATTTCACTGAACAGTCACAAATGTATTAACCTGGATAACGAAAGACTCAAGACTTTTCTCAGCACCATCAGAATCATATCTCCCATCATGTGAATCTTCAATGCCTTGAATTGATGAGCGCTCATAGACTTCCAAGGATGACACAAAAGTCTGCCACAATGGCCCCACAATTACTGAAATACCCCCATAATGTCAGAACGTATGAAGAACTATGGCAAGAAAAACAATGGATTGGCATAACAAATGGAGTAGAAGCAGCAGGAGGTTGATCAACCTACCATCAAAATAAGTTTCCACAATGGCTGGAAAGTTTTGAATAAACTGATTCAAACACTTTAACACCTGACATAAGGTAAATGATGTGTTAAAGATCAGCCATTTGTCTTACAAAGGGCATCATGGGAGACAAACAAAAGAAGAGCTACCTCCATTCTGATGCTCCAATTATCAGGATCTTCAGATGGCACTGGGTTTTTCAAGATTAATGAAAATTGTTCCATCCAAGGCTGGAGCATTGGTAACATTAGGGCGCTAGTTTCTGTCTAATTTACCACAAGACATGAAAAATAAGTTGCTATTGAAGATCTTGGTGCATAAATTGCATTCATATCAGCCTGAAGTTAATGAGCTATAAGTGAATACCTTGTAGACACCACTCATAACCCCGACCATGGAGGTACAATTATAAACTATTGAAACAGCTTTAAACCTCAGAAAATTGTCATATATCTGCACATATGAATCCACAGAAAGATGAGAAAACGATCTAACAGTACCTCGTGCACCACAAAGCTAATGGTTATCCTGACAAGCTTTCAGACAAATGTTGTAAAGCAATAGAGCAAGGTACACTAAACTGATAAAGATTCCATTTTTTCTCATGATTCTGTATATCTTAACTAGAAATTTGAGAAGGCAATAAGTACATAATCAAGGTGAAGGTGAAGATTAAGATGAAAATGGTCTGGCCATACTTGATAAAGAAAAATGGTCATTTCGCTTCCCCAGTTATCAAACCAAATTTACAGATTCTGTAGCCAATACCCTCAATACAAGCTTAAATAAAGAAAATGAATTAACTATAGGCAAACTAAAAACTGTGGAAGTACAATACTTAGGCATGTAGGCGTCCATTTTCTTTTGCGTAATGATCAATTTTTTTTCCAAAACGCTTTGAACAATCTCATGTTCTATATAATTGCTATCGGAATTCATAAAATGCATGCAATGTAAAGGTAATGAATGATATTAACCTGAGGAGATGACACAATCATGTGCAAGCTTGGGAACAAGACTGGGACAATTTTGGGGGCCATCCTATCGTCCATGTCCGAAGTAAGCAGAGCTAAGCATCTCAAAGCCCCATGCACTGCAATAACACAATAATCTGAGTTCCCTCTCAAGAATTGTCGGTCAAATTAAAAGACAGACCAAGGACTAACCAGCATTCAGTTTACTCTGGTCGTTAATTAAGCTTAAAAGGAAGGGCAATAGTTCAGGCCAATCATCTGGCCAATCATACTGTGCAATTGTCGATACAGCCACACTTATTGCTGTACAGATCTTCTTGTAAGGATCATCTAGTGATCCTAGAAGTAGTTGTCGAACAGATGCCTGATTAAATAACAGAATCAGGTATAACTTTTGATATTTAATTAATCCTCTATAAATTTGTCTGTTTATATGTAACCCAACTTTTCGATACCCAACAGGTTTGACAGCAAAAAAAGTTTTATGTTAAAAATGAAACACCACTTGTTTAACAGAGAACATAACATTTTCATTTCACAGAGATATAGAAGAGTATTTCTCTCTATTAATGACATTACTTTTGAACAAACACCAAACAATAATTTGAGATGAAACAAAAAAAATAATCCAATATTGTAGTGGTTCGCTAAATTTGAGGGAAAGAAATAAATTCTCAATAAATTGAGTAAAACAAACACAAAACAATGTAAAGCTTGAAAATGAAGTAAAATTTGAAGTCCAAGCCTTTAGTCCATGGTGGCATCATATCGACAAAAACTACAAATTACTTTTTTTCGGTAATGCACATCAAGTAAAAGAAAACCTTCTCATTGCTCGGAACAACAGGATGCTCAAAGCCTTCCTCATCCTCATTCCAGTGTTTCCTAATATATTGCTTCAGCAAAACTGCTGCTAAGTAAATGCATGTTAATCTCACAAAGCTTATACTAGAAGGAAGTTGACCAAAATGAAACACACAGAATAGCCCTAATGCAACCGAAATAAGGAAAAATTATCTCTGAAATAAATCACAATGTGAAGGATATCTGCCTCAACCCAAACGGAAGTTCTCGATTCGCAGCAACGCTAGCTAAAGCAACACCATAACCTTTCAAGAATGCAGAAAGAAACAAAATCAATCTCATAGCTATACAGTGATATATATCGAGAAAAGAAAATGTAAGCACAACAATTAAACCACATCAAATGTTTCAATAATATAGTGGAACTAGCACCATAGTTCTTGCAATAACATTTGAAAACAAAATGGGTTCACATCTGTAGAAGATACGCAGATCGCAAAGAACAATATTTGCCATTGTCTACATAAGTTAATTAGTAGTAAAAAATTCATCTTCGCCGATAAAATTGCAATGTGTCCTGAAATACAATTAACAATCTTAAATTTATAAATCCAAAATCGATTGGCAAAAGCAAATAAATATACATATATAAACATGAAATTCCTCAAATGAAAAAACCAAAATCATCGGACAATTATCCAACAGAATTTCATCAAAAATTAAAACAACATCAATTCGGATTTCAGAAATAATAATCTCAATCACCTGGCTGTACAGATGCTTGCTGGAGGGAAGTCTCGGCGAAGGTTCGAATTTGATGGTTGGGATCGAGTGATGCGTTCAAGCAATTAATCAGCCATTGCTGATCTTGATCCATTTTGATAAAAATGCAGACAGGTTTTACCTCAATATGCGTGTAATTTACGCGCAGAGCTCTGTGTGTATTGAAGCTGAGGTAGCGAAGAAGAAAGCAAAAGGGAGGGAGTTTTCAGTGTGGGGTTTTCATAATTGGGGGGTCTTTATAGGGTATTAGGGTTTTTGCAAATCCAGTGACACTGAGTCAAATATGTAATTATTAAAAGTTTTTTTTAATTACCCGAAATGACCAAATTATAAAAACTTGAACTATATAAATTATATGGTAAATTACACTTTCCCCCTCGTACTTTGACTCGATATCATTTTACACCATTATCCTCTCAATTGCATTGATTTGTCATTTTGCATTTTGGCTCGATATCACTTTACCCTCTTCTACTCTCAATTGTATTTATTTACCCTCTTGTACTTTGGTTCGATATCACTTTACCTCCTTCTACTCTCAATTACATCGATTTGCCCCCATGTACTTGAAAAATTGTCTCAATGTGGTCATCGCTGTTGGTTTTCACGCATTTAACCTTAACATCGTTTGTAAGTTTAACAATTACAAAAAAACCACCCCTCCCAGTTTAAATAATTATTAAAAAAAATATTGTGGCTGGCGTCGTGGACTTGTTTTTGTAATTCCAGAGCTTAGATCAGACGGTGGTAAGGTCAAATATCTGAAAACTAACAACAATGGCAACTAACAGCAATGGCCATATTGAGATAATTTTACTAAGTGTAAGGGGAAAATCAACGCAATCGAAAGTCGAAGAAGATAAAATGATACCGAACCAAAGTACAAGGAGGGAAAGTAAAATTTAGACTAATTAATAAGAGTAACATACACAAAACAGCTAAACAGAGTAAAAGATCAACACAAATTAAAATAACAGGTTCTATTATTTTAGTACTCCCTGTGCTTATAGAAACTATCACAAAAGACCACAACATTTCCAAAACAAAAAAAAAACTCAAGATTTCAAAATATTGTTTTCCCCCCCTTCTTATTTGCAGGATGGTACTTAAAGATCCATTTCCAAACCTTGTGGCTTCTGCTATCTCTCTTCAATCCGCCCCTTTCATTCACTGAAATTCTACAAGACCCCCCATTACTCTTCATATTTGCAAAACTCCCCCCTCCTTCTTCCTTCAATTCCGTCGCTAAATCCAGCTTCAGATCAATGAAAGCAGACTCATCCATGGCGGCGCTGAAATCACTCTCCTTAGCCGGAAAAACACTCCTGTTTGTTGCCACAGTACTACTATGAACCCCTCTGAAATCGAAGCCGCCATTTTCAAACCCACTTCTCCTCCCCTCCGATTCGCCGGAATATCCCCACTGCTTGTCGGAATCAAGAAAGATTCCGCCGGTGACGTCGGAGATCTTAGCGCTAGAGAAAGCACACTCACTCGCTTCGTCGCCGCCGCCGCCCCTGAAACTGCAGAGCGATCTAGACCGGGCGACGCCCATGTAATCCCGCACCCAAATCTCGCTTTTCTCGTCGCAGAATCCGTCGCCGTTGTTTCTCTCGTCGCAAAACTCGTCGCCGCCCTTGTTTCGTTTCTTCCTAAAGAGGCGCTTGATCCTCCAAAACCCATTTGTTTTCTTCACCTCCACGCAGCTGCTGCTGCTCCGCCGCAGGAATATAACCTGCTGCTCCGACGACGATTTGTGGTGGTCTTCCCTTCTCTTGGACTTCGCCGGAATAATATTCGGATCGAATTTCTCGTTCTCTATCAGAAACGAGACTCTTCCGACACTACCGACAGTGCTGCTGCAAGAGTTGCGGTACGAGGAGGAGGAAACATCGTCGGAGCAGGAGCAAGAAGAAGAGAGGCGCTGCTCGCCGCACTCGGAGCAGACGAGTTTCACCAGCCTGTCTTTCAGGCAGTACGCGCAAATTCCGACCGACGAAGAACTCGGACTCGGGTGTTTCTTGCATGGCATCTCCGACGCAGCTGAGAAGTTGAACTCCGGGAAACCGTCGGTAGTACAAGCTTTGCCTCTGTCTTTCATGGCTGCTGGTCGATAATGATAGAAAAACGTAAAAGATTTGATTTTTAATGGGATTTTTGTAGAGAGAGAGAGAGGGATGATGTTAAATGATAAGGAATGAAAGATAGAAGAGCACGCAGAGCAAAAAAGTGGCGTGAGCTTTACGTTTTACTTTCCGATCGAGGAAAAACAGTATGCAGTATGTAGCAGTGTTGATCAATTATTATTATTATTATTATTATTATTACAGAGGAAGAGTGATGGAAAATATATATAATACTGTGTTGACTGTGTGTGTGTGTGTTTTCTGGGTATACATATAATTGAGGAGTGTGTGTTTGTATATATGATCATGTGTTTGATGGATGCGAGAGTGAAGTGATTGAGATTGGGACAAGCACTCAGAGTTTTTGAGTAATTTAAAAGGTATGAAGCGACCTGTCCTCTATATCTATCATATATATATATATATATATATATATATATATATATATATATATATATATATATATATATATATTATATATCAATGTTGTAAAAAGCGGTAATCGGGTTCGAGTCGGTCAGGCACCGACTCACGATTAATCGGTGCGGCGGTGATTAATCGGTGATAAATCGGAAAAAAATTGATTTTTAAAATTTAATATAATATATTTTTAAATATTATTTATAAATACTCCAAACATATATCAAAAGATATTTAAACATAATTATATTTCCATTATCTATATATTCTAATAATATAATGAAAGTTTACTCATCATAAGATCATAATACATAAATATTCTTATAAAATATAAATAAAAAACATTTTTTTTGAATTTACATTTATTCTTTAACATTACTGGCATACATCATTAGTTC